CCCCTATGTCACCCTCCCCCCCGCGCAGGCGCCCTCGCCTGCCACGCCCGCCCCGCCCCCGACGGCCCTCTGTCCCCCGCATGGCGCCGCCTGATGGACACCGGGACCGTCACCGCACCCACCGCCGCCACGGGCTCTAGCACTGCTGGCGCAGGCGACGTCAAGGCGGTGGCTAATGTCGACTGGAACCCCAAGGAGGAGCCGCTGACGACGCCCAAGATCCCGAGCGCTCCGACTGGCGCCGCCGCGGGCGCCGTCGCGGGCGGCGGCGGCAACAATCCGGCCGGCGGCGGCGTCGCCGGCGGCTTCGTCACTAACAGCGGCGTCAGCAACGGCGTCGCCAGCGGCACGACGAGCAACAGCGGCATCGGCAACGGCAACGGCGCAACCAGCAACGCCGGCGCCGGCGTCGGGGTCGGGGCGCGCCCCACCAGCACCATCGGCAACGGCGGCGGCAGGAGTGGTTCCAACGGCGTTGGCTCTACACTCGGCAGTGCCACACAAGGAGCCAGTGGCGTCTCTGCCGGCTTTGGGGGCACGTCCACAGGCATCACCGGCGGGGGGGTTGGCGGGAGCAGTGGGGGCGGTACAGCCGGCCGCAGCGGTCTGACGGTGAACAGCGGTGTGGGCACAGGCGTGGGCAGTGGTGTGACTGCGAACAGTGGCGGTGCAACGAGCAATGCAGGGGCTAACATTGGCCCGATCTTCCCTACTGACAACACCCGCAATGGGGGTGGCGAGGGCGGTCGTTCGGGCGGCTCAAGCAATGGGGATGGTAGCAGTGGGGGTAGTGGCAGTGGCGGTGGTTCTGGCGGTGGGAGTGGGAGTGGCCGTCGTTGATATGAAGGTGAGAATTCTCGTGAACAGGAGTTGTTATCCCGGGTGTAGGTGCTGGTCTTTTGCAATAGGATTTTTGTAACCCACCATTGGTGAGGAGTGTGAAGGTGTGTCCTTGCCACATATGTGTGGTGTGAGGTTTGGATGAGGGGGATGCACGCACGACTAGCACGATTGGGACATGCAGAGTGATTTGCAATGAATGCATCACTTGTATGTTTGAAAATCAATCAGCATGCACGCAACACCATGCGTGTACAATCGTTTTTATTTTTTTTTTCCGGCAAATGGGTGTATGTTTGACTCATGGGGAAGGGTGAATTTCGCCTTCCAAAAGTGTCTGCTGCATAATTTTTCTTGTTTATTATGCCATATGCTGTGTATGGCAGTTGAGCAAATATAGAACTTATTTGTGCTGGGTTGCCCTGATCATTTTGTTGCTAGTGTGAAGCTTTGCAGTAATGTGGAAATGGGTTGCTTAGGCTGTTCTTAGATTGAAAGGATATTGGCATTTGGAAATGTGTGTAAGTACAGTTGCAAAATTATGTTGTCATGAAAATACTGCACCTCACCACGCAAGGGAACGAGGCACTCAGTCCAAAGTACATAACATATTCCCAACCAGACCTGCTCCTACAATACAACACCTAAGCAACTATACCATTTCTCATGTCACCACAACACCGCTTCATGCTGACTCTTGATATTGGCAAGAAGGTGTGCACTCATCAGGAGCTTTGACTCATGCTACCAGCTACCGCATGGCAGTATTGTGCAAGGTAGGCAGGCATGATTCACATCCTCGTGAATCGCAGACATCCTTGAAAAAAATGAAGATGAGCTGGCGGTACATCTGAATGTAATTCCCGTATTTCAACGCGACGCAAATGTGCTGCGGATAAAAGCTCTTATAAAATTCGTCTTCGTTGAAATTTCTGCACATCACTCCTGAAGCTTTGCTGTTGTGCAACCGCTCCGTCCACGTCACCACCTGACTGGAGTGGCAATCATGGCGCTCCTGCAAGTACGCCTGGCCCCCCTTCTGGTGCTGCTCCTGGCAGGTAAACCGCAACAAAGGGCTGCCGTATCCTGGCCGGCCCAGTTGACAGTCGCCAGGAAGGGCTGTGCTGGCATGATGTGACGTCCCTCGCATCTCGCAATCGGGCTTGAGTCGCGCCTGCCCTTGGCGCACGCGCTGCGGCCTGCGTCACGCTCGTGGCTCGCAGCAACCTTGCGATTGTGGCTGCGCCCCAAGGGGCAAGCTTGTGCTTGCTTGGCATCAGCCTCAGCTCAGCCCCGGCGGATGTCACTTCTGCTGTCGCCGCGTCTCGCTCCACCCTCACCCCCCTTTTTGCCCCTCCCACCTTCCCCCATCCCCCCCCCCGGCAGGCGCCCTCGCCTGCCA